AAAAAAAAAAGAAAAAAAAGAAAAATAATAAAACACTCATAGACTAGTATGTACTAGCCTGAATTACATCTTACATTAACAAACATAACTAACATGAGAATTTCAAAATAATCACAGAATCTTCCAAGCCTCACATTGTTTCACAGAATGTAGCTGTATCAAATACCTAGTAAAATAAAATAGTCTGTATATCCCTTTGAAGTTAGTTGCCTTTTATTCATCAGATAAAATTAATCTTGATATAGTTCTTTGTTTTTGTTTTTTTTTTGGAGACAGAGTTTTGCTCTGTTGCCCGGGGTAGAGTGCCATGGCATCAGCCTAGCTCACAGCAACCTCAAACTCCTGGGCTCAAGTGATCCTATTACCTCAGCCTCCCAAGCAGGTGGGACTACAGGCATGCACCACCATGCCTGGCTATTCTATATATTTTGAGTTGTCCAGCTAATTTTTCTATTTTTTTTTCAGTAGAGACAAGGTCTCGCTCTTGCTCAGGCTAGTCTCAAACTCCTGACCTCGAGCGATCCTGCCACCTCGGCCTCCCAGAGTGCTAGGATTATAGGCGTGAGCCACCACACCCAGCCAATATGGTTCTTAATGGTACAAGTTTCATGGAAATTTCAACTAAAAATTTTATTCAACTCATTTGGAATCTGTTAAATTGGATTAGAAATCATTTATCCTCCCAAGTAAATGCCAAAATAACTTTTGAACATTAATTTAATGAAACCTATCTTCCTTAAAACTGTACTAAGCCTGTTTGAAAGGACAAAAAGGTCAGCAAGATGACCCAGACAGATCAATAATGACAGCCAGAAAGTCTGCTCCAGGACAGAGTAACCATTTCATGCCATGTGAATCACCATCAGAGAAACTTTATAGAGCAACCAGTTAAAGGAGGCTGATGCGAGGTCTCCAATTATTAGTCCAAGTTCCTATATATTAATGGTTTAGTCAACATCAGTAGAATAATGGGAAGCCTTCCAGAGCAATTCATTTCCGATAGCCTGTGTTCACATGAAAAAATGTTAGTTTATATTGTGTTACTTGTGACCACATCTCGTGGGCATCAATCCATTGCACTGTGCATATTGCACCCAGTAAGTTCCAACTGATATTCTCAAGGAAAACAAACTCTCCAGAAACCTTGATAAAATAACATATTTATCAAGATTGCCTGATCTCTACTTATTGGATATTTTAAAAATATTTTAAGAGCCCCTAAGCCTGCCTGACACCATTCTTGGCACTTTTAGAAGCAGTACAGCATAATGGTTAAGAGAGTGGATTTGGGGGCCTGACTACCTGAACTTGAGTCCTGGCTCAGCCCTTTACTAACTGTGTGATCTTGGGCAAATCACTTACCCACCCAGTGCCTCAGTTTCCTCATCTGTGAAACAAGGAGGGTAACTGCTCCTCATAGGGCTGCTATTAGGATTAAAGGAATTCGCATATGAAGAGTGCTCAGACAAAGCCTGGGCGCAGCGAGCACTGTATAAATGTTAGCTATGACCGTTATTAAAAGGATATGAGATGAAACAGACATACGGAGTATCCGCGGAATGTGTAGGAGAGATAAGACAGATACATAAAGCAATAAGTGTCATGAGAAAAACTGCAGATAAAGTGTGTGGAGGACTCTGGAGGAGGAACACATTGTTTTCTGCCCGGAGGAATGAGAAAGGGCTTTATGGAACAGGTGATCATTGAGCTTGTTTTTGAACATGTGCAGATAAGAGGAAGGGCACTCGGGATAGAAAAACCAGTAGGAGGAAAAAGAAATGGAAAAGTTCATGGCATTGTAGAAGCAAAACAGTACGTGCTCCATACTTCAGTTGTTAAAAATTCTCTTTTTCCATAGTGTGAGTTTTAAATTTCTCTTTATGTTCCTCGGAAAGTGTTGCTCCATGAGCAGACTTTCATTAGAATCTGTAGGGGCCTACCATATATCACATCACCCAGAAACAGCCAGCCTGATACAAGTGGCTTATTAAAGGCTTACCTACGGTGGGGGCGACACCCGGTGGAGGTTGGGGCGCTGTCCTCTAGCATGCAGATATGCAGTGAATATTGATGGCGAGTATGTAAGAGCTATGTTGCCAACAGCTAAAATCCAACAGCCAAGACACAGAAGTGGGAGTGGCCCCTCTCACCATCACTCCCAGTAACCCACCTGCAGAGCTTGTGCTTCCTGGACCTACAATTCTGTGCCCTGCTGAAGGTGGAGACCTGGTTTGGGAGGGAGAAACCTTTCTATCAGGGGATGCAGTAAAGGTTCCACCACAGTCATGGATAAGAGCATATGGTTAGGTTATAATTAAGAGCTTAGGGTTAAACTGAGACAAAGCAGGAACCTGAAATGACCAATAATTTTGTCCACACAAAAAACAACATCCCAGATGATGTCGGCATGGCTAGATGATGGCTAAGAACCATCCTCTGCCTCACACTTAACTCTGCCCAAAGCCTTGGCAACACATAACCCCTCTCCAGAGACACTCAGACACAAACCTAAGACTCTTAATTTATTGGAGCTCCAAACTGAAATTCAATCCAGTGATAGAAAAAGAAAGAAAGGAAGAAAGGGACAGAGGGGGAGAGGAAGGGAGGAAGGTAGGCTGCATTTCTTTCTCCCCAGACTGGGACTGCGATTTGAATTTACAACATGATAAAATGGAATATGAAAACCTTCATAAATTTTTGGAGAAACACCTATAAAGATATTTTGACTTTCAAATACTGTTTTTCAGTGGAAGGTCCTAACTTAAGTATATCAACCTTAAGGTCATGACAATTTTTGCTTATAAAATCAGAAAATTATTAACAACTGTAAATAAATAAACCATTGTATCATCCCTAAATCTTACTTTTTAACTATCCTAAGATCATGTGAAAGGAACATAAAAAATCCCTCAGAAGCATGAACTCACTCGAAATCACCTAACCCTGTTCTGAGCCTTGCTGCACAGTCTTATACACACCATAATGTAACTGCGTGATCTCCTTGACCCAGGCTGTGTGATAGATCACCTCGAATTCCACCAGCACATAGGAGATCCTGTTATACTGACGGATGACAGCTTTACCTTCCAAACTGGACAAAATGTCTGAGTTTTTCTGTTTTTCAAGGAAAAAAAGAAAGATTTGTTTTAAAAGATTGCTGTCATTTTCATAGCCACATCATAAAACTGTTCATATGTAAAATGACGTCAAATAATTATGCTACCAATTTAGATTCCACGTTAGAGTAAAACAGAGGTGGGGAAGGAAGTACAAGCAAGAGGGAGACGCAGGGAAACATTGTCCGCGCAGAGGGAACACTGCGAAAGGAAAGACAGGATCTAGAAAGAGAGGCCTCGAGCCCCGCGGCCAGCCCCAGGCAGTCAGAGTCTCCACCTCTGATTCTCCGTTCCCATCTCCACTTCTCTGGGCAAGGTGCAATTAACGGATTTTCTCTGAACTGTAAATACCAGGGTAAATTCCTAAATTCCAGCACACAAAAGGTAACCATAGATCAAAGAATAACAATCGAATTTATTTATGTAAAAACTGGAAGATTAGGTTTCGATTCACGTACGTCAAACAGGGCAATCTCTGCCCTGCCACTATGGAGTCAATTAGGGATCGACTCCCTACCCCGCCTCTCTTCTAAGGGCAGGGCTTTAATTTTTCTTTTTAATACTGAGAACAATGAAATAAATGATTGTGGCTAAACAAAAACAACAGAATCTTAATATTTAATAATGCTTAAATAATAAAATTACTTGTAAGATGACTGTTTTGCAGTTATTTTGTTCTATAGATACAACAAGCAAATCAACTCTACTCTGCTACTATGTCTCTTAAGTAAAAACAAGGACAAAGAAAAGACAAACTGGCAGTTTCAGAATGCCAACATGGCCTAGACTATCCTGTTTTTCTGAAATCCAATAATCTTAAAGACATAGAGAATGAATAGACTCTATTACACTCCACCCTCGGTGTCAGTTCTTCACACAGGAACACACTCTGAGTATATCTTTACCTTCATTGAACATATATATCAGTGACTTATCTGTCCACACACACAAGTAAGCTTCAGCACTAGGCCTATACTTTATTGTGTTTTCAAATTTTTTAGTTTTTAAAAGGCTCTATAAAGAGTCCTGTTTTATTAAAAGACATAAAGTGGTAAGATTCACCGACTTCAAAATAACTGTAATTAAACTGGCTTATCTACTGAACAAGAAGGAAATGACTTAGTCTCTCTCAAGCATATTTATAAACTAAATTTTCTTTGCCTGGTAAAAGAATTGGCTCTTTATTGGACACCGATATTACAGGATAAAATATAGTTCTCGTATTAAAACCACCATAATCCACATATTATAAATTTAATTATTGGCTTACAAAGAAATAGTTGATGGGCTCGCTTATCCGGCGATAGAGCTGCCTCACCCAAAGTATTTTTCCTGCTATAGGGGGCATGTTGCGAGCAAGAGGTGGGTCATCTTTTTGAGAATGATAAAGCTGTAATTTAAAATCCAGAATTATTGTTTGAATTCAGTACAATGGAGAAGGCAAAAAACATACAGCTATGTTTGTATTGTTTTACCATCATTCACATGTCTTGCATCTTATACACAGCAGGGAGTCAATAGATAGGTAAGTGAACATCAGAGATGATAACTTGAAGCTTAGAAACAATGACGTTTGCAGTATTTGACACTTAATTCTCTCTTCACCTTTATTTCCTATTACATGAATTTCTTTCTGCTCTTACTCCAAATGTTAAGGAAGTATTCAAAAAAAGGAGCCTATAGCTATATTACATCTCTCACAACAGTCTCCAGAGCCGTATTTCTACACTCGGAAATACTAATTCAAATGGGCTTTGCTAGACACACACCTGAAAACCAAGGCAAAAAGCTATTCCTAAGAGCAAAGGGGCGAGAATCCAGCTGTGGCAGGAGAGAGGTCTATCAGCAGTGAAGGGATCGCTTTGAAAAGCTTGGCACAAGACAACGATGGCAAATACTTTCGGAATCATTTCCTTTTTGTACTAATGTACCATTCTGTTTATAACCGTGACACTTACCTTCTTCGTAGCGTCAAGTTCAGCCACATAATACTGAAGAATACGCTCAATTGTGTGGTTTATTTCTGACTGAAGACAGGGAATGTTCAGCTTCTGAAATCTAAAAGTAATTGAAGATGAATAATTAAAAAGTAAATGAGAAATATACTTAAGAATTGCTATAATACTAAACATCCATTCATTCGTTTGGCACTATTCATCCCAGGCCTCGTGCATTGTCCCAGGATACAGTGACGAGCAAGATAGATACAGTCCTAGCCCTCCTGGAGCCTACAATTATCTTATAGAAAAGGCGGACCACAGTCAAGAGTTACATAAATGATTACTTACATTACGAGGGGGCCGGAAATGCATATAACAGGGGGGCCTAGCCAAGTCTGGGGAGTAAAGTAAGACTTCTCGGAGAAAGTGACATTTAAACTAGATTAAAAAGATGAGTGAGGAGGTAGCTTAGCAAAGATGGAGGGGAGAACATTGAATGTACCTCAGCCGATGCTGACGCTCACATAATTCCAAATAACCATAAGCATAATAATGACCTTGTCGGCCAAATATCACTTCCATTTAGAGACTGAATGACACATAGCAAGTACTAAAACCACAACACCGCGGTAATACAATGAATTCACACCAGCATACGACAGGCAAAAAGAGAGAAACAGAGACAGAGACAAAGTGAGAGGTGGCCAAGAAAGCGGTACCTGCCATCTGTGCAGAACTGCCACTTGCCAAAGTCATTTTATGTCTGTTTTGACTTTTTTACGATGGTCTCACCAGGTATGAACCATCATTACAGAGACAGGGAACTATGGCAAAGCCAGACCCAAACCTAGATCTGCTGGCTCTCAGGGAAGAGCCAACAGGGCCCCTGTCATGGGTCCTGCACCTTTCCTGGGCTGGAAGGGAAGAGCCCCTCACCCACTAATCCAGGATTCCCTGCGCTTTGAGAGACTAGTGCTGCAGGAGAAAGGAAGCTGAAGGAGAGTAGATTTCAGGTGCTGGTACCACAATAAAGGGAGGAGTAACTCTTTGAAATGATGGATATGTTAATTGGCTTCTTGTAGCAACCATTTCACTATATATATCAAACATCATGTACACCTTAAGTGTATACAATTTTTTTTAAAGGTGCAGGAGCCCCTCAGGGGAGGAAATGGAAAGTTTTAGTATCTATTACTCTTAGATAGTCTCACTTTTAGAAATTTTTTTCAGTATGTAGAATTAAACATTATTTGTTCCCTTTCCAATAATACCTATGAAATTAACCTTAAGCATATTACATGGTGGGGAAGAAGGGAGAGTGAAAACGTGAAATAATTTCAGTTTCTTATTGAAAGACTTTCTACTACCCCAAAAAAATGCAATGAAAAAGTGTCATTCTGTATTTAAAATTTTACCAATCTATTAAGTAGTAACTGAAAGGTTAATATTTTTACATTTTAAGGCTTATGTAGGAGAGATTTCCAAGAACACCTAATTTGAAATTGTACTTTAGTTATAAAGTAATTTCACTTAGAAACTATACTGCTTAAAGCATTATAAATACCTTTGAAGCAGCTGAAGAGCCTGCTGAGAAGACAAGATTTTTCCAAAAGTACCACTCATAAATGCCTGTATTTGTACCTAAAATAAAATATTAATATCTAGATGATTTTGGTATTAAGGAAGAGATTAGTTCTGTTTAACAATTAATGGCTTTCCTATAGAATCGAAATAGCCTCAAACACATCTACCACCTAAGCATCTAGAACTGCACTGTCCAATACGGTGGCCTCTGGCCACATGTGGCTACTGAGCACTTGAAATGACACCGCTTGGAAGTGAGATGTCTATAAATGCAAAATACACATTTCAGAGACTTAGTACAAAAAGACAGAATGTAAAATATCTCATTAATGATTTTTATATTATGACATGTTAAAATTATAATATTTTAATATATTGAGTTGAATGAAGTATTTACTAAAATTAATTTCATCTGCTTTTTTGTTTATTCATGTGGCTACTAGAAAAATTTAAATCACATATGTGGTTTGCCTTTGTAGTTCATTATTACTAGATATCACTGATCTAGAGAATTTAGGAAAGGCGTGAGTGTCCCTTATAAGCATTTTCCTTTGGGATATTTAGGACTTCTGGTAGAACAATGTAACGACACTACAGACACCAGGGCCAACAAGTGTCATTTTCCAATACCACTGCTCTCAGAAACTTATGTGCCACTGCTAAGGAGGAATGAGAAATAGAAAATGTTCTTTCAAGATTCCCACCATCCCTAGCAGTGAATTCCAAACTCCTGATACCCAAAAGATGGAACTGAATCACTCTTTGCAAATTACTTTTACGTACAGATCATATTGGTTTGGTCTACTAATACATACCACACCCATGAATCAAACATTGAAAAAGGAAGGAAAATCAAAACACTGACCCCTCAAGCAAATTATTCAACTATTAAAAGGATAATATGGCCTCTAAATTTACTGAGAGCTAAAATTTGTATCTAAGACCACAATAAAGCCCTGATAACATATATTCTTTATTAATAAATCATAAAAAATAATGTAAGACATAACAAGTTTTTAAAAAATTCCTATTGCCATAAAGATTTAACTCCCACAGCATTTTGGAAGCCAACTCCACTTTACCCAACTAGTCAAACATTAACAGTAATAATTAACATATATCTTAATATCAGAGAGTTTAACTTTCAAAAACTGTAGGGAAATCTATGCCAAAAACCAAATGTGGAATTGTTGGAGTGGTAGAATTTTAGGATCTTTCTTATTTATATTGTCCAGATTACACGTAACATGGCTTTTAAAGAATTTTTTTAAAATAAATGAGAAAAAAATCTGATTTTTCTCACCTTCATGGTAAGGATTTCAGACTCAAAAAGTAGACAAAGTACATTCTTGTCCCTACCCGTATCTCCAGGAAGTTCTGCAGCAGAAAGGAGGCTATTACCTTGGTCTAAACTTAGGTTAACAGTAGTTTTCAGTAAGAGAGTAACTGAGGTCATATCAGCCCCAAAGGTGAGAGAGAAACAGGTTACAGTCTCATCTAACATACTTTCTGACTACCCCTCATCCCTCTGTGTCCCTTAATCTATGACACACAGGATACCAGCACCTCTTCAGAACCATCCTCTATAGCTACAGCGAGAATGTGGGCATAGAGCACAGAGCCAAAGGGAGAGTGATCCATCTTCCTAATCTGTTCTCAAATCTTCTCACACTTAAGATAAAGAATAACAAATTGTCTCTTAGACTGGAAAAATTACATTGGCTCCTTGGCACAACAAAAACTGAATACAAATTTTAGTGTAAATTAAAAATGAACTCTTGCTACAATATAGCCTTTGGGTTTCTAGTTATTCTGTGATATCTTTTATTGGATATGCTCATTTTTCATTTAAAAGAAAAAGAAAATATTTTGTGGCTGGTTTGAAAATTACTCATACTACAAATATTTTTGATCAATTTGTAGTATGTATTTAAAATAAATAGTAAATATATGAACAGTTATTTTAAGTGAATATTTACAACAATAGTACTGGATGGTACTACTGATTACTTTTCACCTTTACTAAGTGAAAGTATATATAATTACTTACCTCTAAACCATTGATTTTTGCCATGAAATCTAAGAAATCTTTGTCAAATTCTGTCCTTCTTGGATCCAGAATGTCATATTGGTTTTTCTTAACCCCTTGATAAATATTTTTGAATTTTATTGCCATAATATCTATTCCTTCTATGGTAGAATTGCTCAAGGCTGAATATGTTTGCACAACAGTTATCATTTCTGTAATCTTAAAAAGAGAACTGTTATTTTATTTTAAAAAATGAGATATTAGGCCCCTTCCCTAGAATAAGCTCTTAATGAATCATTAATTTAAAAAACAAAGCCATAAACAGGCACTAAAATCATTTAGCTAAAACCAACCAAGACAAGATAAAATAGAAAAAGTCTTCGTCACCAGTCATTACTACTCTTACACTATTTAAGACAGATGATGTTCTATCATATCCAAAGAGAGTTTACAACATTTTTCAGAAATTAATCACTTTGTCTTTCAAGGGGAAGGGGCAGGGAGAACTTGACTAAATAGCTTTATCCTTTTGTTCTTGAGAATTTTCTGAAAATCATTTCACTGAATCACTAGATTCAAAAGCTCCACCACTCGTGTGTCCCCAACTAGAGCTATGATACGTAATGGTAGCATAAATCCACCTGTGCTCTCCGTTTGACTCCTGCGTTCAGATAAAGGACTGACCCAAGAAGCCTCAATGATGACAGCAATCACTCCTGACCCCCGAAGAACCCTGGGAAACCCTCACGATGCTCTTTATTTCAGAAATGGCAGCCTCTATCCCAATGTATCAACACTGCCTACTTCACCAAAATGCTCAGTAACCACTTTTAATGGATTATGCAAAATCCTGGCCACACTTCAGGGTTACATTTGATAGCCCCACCTTTGAGAATCTGGACACCAATATCCACCAATTATCCACTGGGAGAGATGCCAGTCAACTGGCAGGTTCTTACTATAGGGGAACTGGGATAACCTAGCAATCAGGATACATTTCAAGTAAGGTCAGTGGGGGTGGGGGCAGTTGTTACATTAGCTCTGGTTGCTGAACCCTTGTGGCTTGAAGTTGTATCCTAAAAGCCAAGAGGCAGAGTTTCTCCAGAGATCAGGGTGGGTGTGCTAATGCGGCTGGCCAGTGATGCCCACTCCCTCTAACATCAGAGAAATGCCCAGGCTGCTATTTCACAGATGGATGTCCATTCTTCCCAGCATTAGACTTGCCACCAAAGATCTTTACTGCTAATGGGCTACCCATTAAAGTCTATCCCTCAAACTCTACCAAGCTCAAAAATGCACCCAAGTTGCCAAGGTTTCTGGCTCCTAGAAAAATTAAAGGTAAGGAGGACCCAGTCCAGGTTTATGCTCTAGTGGATTCAGAAACATTAAGCATTTTTGAGGAACAGGTCCTGACCACTGAGGCCTATTTATTAATTTGACCCATGCTAATATCCTTCTAATTGGACACTGGCCCCCCAGAAATCTCTATTGCTCATAAAACAGCTCTATACAACAATTTCTTATTTTACTTTTTTTTGAGACAGAGTCTCACTCTGTTGCCCAGTCTACAGTGCTGTGGCGTCAGCCTAGCTCACAGCAACCTCAAACTCCTGGGCTCAAGCAATCCTTCTGCCTCAGCCTCCCGAGTAGCTGGGACTATGGCCGAGCCACCGTGCCTGGCCAGTTTCTTAGATATGACACCAAAAGCACAAGCAAAACAAAAGAAAAACTTGATAAATTGGACGGACTTGATCAAAATTGAAAACTATTGTGTTTCAAAAGATACAATCAAGAAAGTGGCCCGGGCGTGGTGGCTCACGCCTGTAATCCTAGCACTCTGGGAGGCCGAGGCAGGTGGATCGCTTGAGCTCAGGAGTTCGAGACCAGCCTGAGCAAGAATGAGATCCCGTCTCTACTAAAAATAGAAAGAAATTGGCTGGACAACTAAAAATATATATATAAAAAATTAGCTGGGCATGGTGGCGCATCCCTGTAGTCCCAGCTAGGCGGGAGGCTGAGGCAGGAGGATTGCTTGAGCCCAGGAGTTTGAGGTTGCTGTGAGCTAGGCTGACACCACGGCACTCTAGCCTGGGCAAGATAGTGAGACTCTGCTCAAAAAAAAAAAAAAAAGTGGAAAGACAGCCCACAGAATGAGAGAAAATATTTGTAAATCATTTATTTGATAAGGAACTTACACGCAGGATGTATAAAGAACTTTTACAACACAACAATAAAAAGACAATTAACACAATTAAAAAATATGACAAGGATTTGAATAGACATTTCTCCAAAGAAGAAATACAAGTCGAGAGTAAGCACATGAAAAGATGCTCAACATCATCAGTCATCAGGGAAATGCAAATCAAAACCACCCACTGGGATGGCTTAATTCAAAAGTACAGATACTAACAAATGTTGGCAAGGATCTGAAAAAATTCATAACCCTTGCACTTTGCTGGTTAGAATATAAAATGATGGAAAATAGTTTGGCAGTTCTTCCAAAAGTTAAACATAGATTTACCATATGACCCAGCAATTCCACCTCTATGTATACACCCAAAATAAATGACAACATACATCTATACAAAAACTTGTACACGGATGTTCATAGCAGCATCATTACTAAAATCCAAGAAGAGGAAACAACCCAAATGTCCATCAACTAATAAGTGGATAAATAAAATATGGCATTATCCATATAATGAAATATTATTCAGCCACAAAAAGGAATAAAATACTGAAAAATACTATAACATAGGTGAATTTTGAAAACATTAGACTCAGTCAAAGAAGCCAGTTACAAAAGACCACATGTTGTATGATTCCATTTATATAAAATGTCCAGAATAGGTCCATCTATAGAAACAGAAAGTAAATTGGGGGTTGCTTACAGCTGGGTAGAACAGAGGATGGGTGTGACTGCTAATAGGGACAGGGTTTCTTTTAGAGGCAATGAAAATGTTCCAAAATTACATCGTGGTAATGATTGCACGGCCCTATGAATATACTAGACAACACTGACCTTTATATTTTAATGAGTCAATTGTGTGGTATATGAATTATGTCTCAATAAAGTTATTAAATAAATTTAAGAACAGCCTCAAAGAAGTATGTGCAAAGGACCCCACTTGGTAACTTCGCTCTCTTCATCAACCATACCTTCCTGTACTGGCTAGGTCAGGAGGTTACAAATAAAACACAGGCTTCCAGACATGTCTAGGAAATGCGCTTCAATCTATATAATGTCCCATCACTTTCCAACAATCGATGAACAGGATCCTAAATACTAGCGGGACCTGGCGAGTTGGCAAAGCAGGGGAGGGGTGGTACCTAAATGACAGCTTTATAGACTTTTCAAGGGCTGACTCTGAGCAGTCTCTGGTATGGGCTGCCCTATATCCCCTACAAGCTATCACTCCTCCCCAACCAGTCTGAGTAAGCAAATCAAAGGTTAAGTTTCTAAGCCATGTATGCCCAGCAAAAGCACCATCCACGCAATGCTTATGGATACACCATATATACTGGCCTAGAAAGAGGAGGTGTCTACACTTTCAGATATTCCACAACTACTGGGTTCCACTAAGCATTGCAGGTATTTCATCTCATACTTTCTCTAGCCTAATATGATGGTTAAGAGCAGAGGCTTTTAAGTTCAAGTTCCAGAGTTGGAGGTAGAATTGAGATCTTGAGACAGGTGAAGGTTTGCAATCGCTTTTGTGTGATTGGCAGAAGACAGTAATCAAGAATGAAAAAATAAGCTATAATAAAATGCAGTGATCTGTAAGCAGTATCAGATGGGTTGTAACAATAGCGAGAGAAGAGATCGGGAACCATAAATCTCAATGGCGCTACATAAAGTACAAAATGACCAAAAAGGCGTGGTTTGGGGTGGGGGTACTGTGGCTGCATAATGCTTACCTTCTCCAGTCTTTTACAGAAAGCTTCAAATTTTCCAAATATATACATTTCTGAAACCTCAAAAGATTTCTCCCCTGAGGATTCCAGAATCTGTTTCTTTGTTTTGTGAAAAGACGTCTGATATTCCTTGAATAGAAAAATGCAATCCTATGAGAAAAGTAAAAGAAGCAGGGGAAGGAAGGTGAGACAGTTGTTCAGGGATCAAAAATTCAAAAATCCTACCCTCACACAAAACTGATCACACCACCCCTCAGCAGGAGCTTTTGCTGTTAACAACAAAAATTCAAGTTCTCTGCCTACACATTAAAGGCCTGCGAAAATCAATATAGTTTTTTAATTTACATCACATCTTCATCTTCTTCATCCTATTTTCCCTTAACTCTTACCCTAAATCAAGGTATGACATATGCTATTTCTTTTCACATTTTCATGGCTAATTATTAACAGAATTCCCAGGAGGTCCAGAAATTATCTATCAAGACTGGGGTCCCCAACCCCAGGCTGTGGCCTATCAGGAACCAGGTCACGTATCACCGACGGAGCTCCACACCCACCGCCCCGCCTTGGACCACCTCAGCCCCTACCCCCACTACCCCCGGCCCACGCCAGTCCCCTGGGAAAATTGTCTTCCATGAAACTTAGGAACAGTCTCCTCCGCACAGCAGGAGGTGAGCACTGGGCGAGCAAGAAAAGCTTCATCTGTATTTACAGCCGCTCGCCATTGCTCGCGTCACCACATAAGCTCCGCTTCCCCCACTCCCACCCCCATCCGTGGAAAAATTGTCTTCCATGAAACCAGTCCCTGGTGCCAAAAAGGGTGGGGACTGCTGTATCAAGACATGTCTATTCAGTTGGCATTCATCTCTTAATCAGCATTATGTACAGGTATATAAAACATGAAGATTCTGTAATACTAATTTATCATCCAACAATCACTTCTCCAAAAGGAGGTCATGAAGTCTTTGAGGAGTGCATTGCTGGAATCCCAATATTTGAGCACAGCTACACTATAGCTAGTTAACCTATTAGAAATAAGAAAGAGGACATGGTTGCTAGGGTCTAGTAGGAATTAACTATCATGTCAAGCTGATATTTCCTAGAACCCAAACGATTCCTTTTTTAATGTTAAGCTTTTTCAAAGCCCTCAATAGCCAGTCAAATCTTTATCATAATGCCAACTCTCTGGTTCTGATCCTCCTACCTCCTTCTCCATTTGGGTAATCCCCATATCATCTAATTAGCAACCCTAATTCCATCTGTAATCTTAATTAAATCTTGCCACATGTAACATATGGACAGGATCTGAGAATAAGGACATGGACATCTTTGGGGGGATATTATTCTGCCTACCACAGCCATTAAATCAGAATTTCTGCAAGTAGGACTCAGAAATCTATATTTTTAACTAGTTTCCCAGGTGATTCCTATAAATATTCAGATCTGAGAATAAGTGGTCTCACTCCCTCCTCTATCTCAATATCATTGCTCTCTTCAACATCCCTGATTATTTTCCACTCATTCAACAAGTTTATCAGTGCCTACCATGTGTCAGGAACTCCTTTTTTTTTTTTTTTTTTTTGACACAGATTCTCACTCTGTTGTCCAGGTCAGAGTACCATGGTGTCAGCCTAGCTCACAGCAACCTCAAACACCTGGGCTCAAGCCATCCTCCTGCCTCAGCCTCCCGAGTAGCTGGGACTACAGGCACGTACCATCATGCCCAGATAATTTTTTCTATGTGTTTTTAGTTGTCCAGATAATTTCTTTCTATTTTTAGT